ACCTAGTGATTTTAAAAAGCTTTCGTATTGTTGTACCGTTATTTTGTATTTTGGAGGATTATAGATAGCTGACAGTGTAATGTTGCCACGATTTGTGCATATGGTTACAGCGGTGGCTTGTATATGGTCGTCGGCGAACGAGCATAGAAAGAAATGCTTAATGTCTTGCTTGATAATTACCGCAGAACCTCCATGTCCCCTGCCAGAGGCATGTTTGGTGTCATATATATTATAGAGAGGAATTTTTAAAAAACTTTTTACTATAAAATGAGTTTCCGAGATTAATAGAACGTCAATTTTATTTGTATATATAAAAACTTTCAACTCTTGCAGTCTTTGTAGTAGACCATTGGCATTCTAGATTACTATTTTTAATGTATCCATTTCAATTATTATTGTTTGTTAACATGTGTGAAAGAAGTTCTAACATTTTGTTGATTTGTTGAGATTGCTGAGTTAATAATTGTGTTTGTTAGATAAGCATGTTGGTTATTAATTTAGTGTTTTTTGTTGATGCTATTAATAATTTTTTAATTTCTAACATGTCAGATGTTGAAGTCTGGTTTTCGACAGAATCAGCTGATACTTCCTGTTCCCGAATTCGAGTTACTTGAGCGTAGGTTACATTATTAGTTTTTGTGTTGTATTGACTCCATACAGAAGTGTTGTTATTGCTATCTAAAGTTGCCTTTTGATTTGAAATGTTTGAGTTTGTATTTGGGTTATCTATAACTGATTTGTATCTTAATCTTGGAAAGAGTTTCTATTGCAGCTGTTTTCTCACTGAGCAGCCCTTGTAACTGGCAGGGTGGTTACCCTGACAGTTGTAGCATTTAACGTTCGTTTTCCCTTCATTAGGACAGTTTGAAGACCAGTGTATCCCTGCACTTTAACGCTAAAAATTGACAAATTAAATGACAAATTTACTGTCATTAAATCGCAAGAGAGTAGCAACTTAGCAGATCAAACGAAATGTGGTACCCAGACGGATAGAAAGAACGATCACACATCAAAGAAGCTAACTAAACTACAACCAAAGAGACGTAAAATCAATCCTCCGAATGAATTATTAGGTGGAACAGTTCTGTGGCAGTAATTTTTAGCATGACCGTACGACTGACAGCGTAGGCATTGCGGTATATCTTTTTTGTTTCTAGGAGGTTCGAAGGTCACAACCGTGTTTAGTAGTCTATTAATTTTATAGATTCCTTTGTTATTTTCCTTGGGTTCTAACTTAATAAAAAAAAAGCGGCAAGGGTTGTTTCGTATCGTACTTAGTTATATTGTTAATTTGCCTTACCTGATGATTTGATTCTTTCAGCTCGTCAATTATTGAACTAATGTTGGTTTGAGGATGCATTCCTCTAAGTACTACCTTGTAGCTTCTATCCTTTTTCGGTTGGTAGGTGTAGAAGTTAGCGTTTTTTTCTTTCAGTATCCGGGTAAGTTCCCTGTAGTTGCCAGGAGTATTGACTTGGATTTTGATATGATTGTCTTTAAGCTGTTTAAGAGTATAGTTGTTGTTGGCTATGTTTTTCATTAATTCAGTAAGGGGCTCTATGATTTGAGCTTCGATGTATACTTGTGAGGGTTTCGGTTGCTGCCTTTCGATAGCTGTAGTGTTACTACCTGTGGGTTCATCAACTTCCATCTCCGACAAGATACTGTACGGATTACTAACGGGAATGTTATTCATTCACTTAGTATGTCCTGTGTCTGTTCCACTTAATAATTCATCCGGAGGATTGATTTTACGTTTCTTTGGTTGTAGTTTAGTTAGCTTCTTTGATGTGTGATCGTTCTTTCTATCAGATCACAGATCAGGGTATCAGATTTCGTCTGATCTGCTAAGTTGTTACTCTCTTGCGATTTAATGACAGTAAATTTGTCATTTAATTTGTCAATTTTTAGCTGTAAATTACAGTAATTTGTACATAGTGCCATTTCTGGCCTGGACTTCCCAGCGGCAAGCCCCCGTAAGAAGCACACTCACACGCACGCACGAGGAATTTGGATACACAAGTACACAATACACAATAACTGATCGTTCGCGTAAACACATCTTACTACGTAAACACGTCTTATCGCTACGACTTCCCAAACGAGACTGAATTATCCTTTTAGTTTTTGAAGTTATACTTTTCTTGGTGGATTGAGAATGAAAGTTTAGTGTTGCACGCGCACACGGTAACGATAATTTTCCAGTATGAAGTTGGCCGTCAAAGGAAATTAAATGTGCACACTGGCTCGTAAGAAACTGTCAGTGTGGTAGAGGTATGACCGAACGTCATGTGGAACCATACTTACATTAAAAACAATCGGTCTTTTTCGGGACTATCAAATTTTAAAACGTAGGAGCGTCAAGCTCTAAAATCGGTACCGAAATTACCCTTAATCCCCAGTGATTGATTTAAAGCAGTGCTCGACTAGTTCTGCACTTTTCGGCAGAGATGGGCATTATTTAGATAAAAAAATGATTTAAATAGAAAATCGAATAAAGATACATATCATTATTTTTATTTGATGACTATCGGATAAAAAAATGTATTCCACAAATAAAAATAATTTAAGTTATCTTATAATCGAGTTATCCGACGGCTAAAGATACCTGCTTCATCTGTAGAGAGTTTCACCCATTGGGTAGTTCTCCCATTTTTATCTTTATCCGACCGCTAGAGATACCTGGTTTTTCTCCGGAGAGTTTCAGCCGTAAGATAGTTTTCCGCATTTTTATCTTTATCCGACCGATGGAGGTACCTAGTTTCTCTCCAGAGAGTTTCACCCGTAGGTTATTTTCGCACTTTCATCTTTATCCGAAGTTTGTCGGATAAAGGTCGGATAATTTTTCAAGCTGCGTTTAGTCGGCAATTGTAATACATAGTTATACATAATTATACATATTGTTGCGAGCACCGTTTGGATGGATCCAAGACCTGCTGGTGCTCGCGACCGGAACATGAAGACAGCGAAAAGAAGGCGATCGGATCGATCGTCTGTCAAGCTGTCAGATTCGAGCAAGACGTCATTGAGAGCAGACGTTCCGAAGCTATATTTAATTGCATTCCTATTGTACACATTTCTATTGTAAAGCTGGTTGTTATTTATTAAAGTTTGTGTTTACTCATTATGCCGAAACGCAACAATATATTTCATGTATGTTAAACCTGCAATCGATTAAATCGATGGAACCCCTCACATTTTGTGCCTTTCGGCATTTCGGCAATTATGCCTACGCAGCAATCTTGTCAACAAGGGCGGGTGGGGTGGGGGGGGGGGGGGTGACCTGGGCTTTTCGAACGTTAAGGAATTTACCTTCCTGTCACATAGATTTTCGGTAAAATATATTTATTAATCAATCTTCAGAAACTGTCCTTGAGTAACTAAATTCTACTATCACTTTCAATTTAAATGTGTTCCACTGAGTGACTAATTATTTGTGATTTCATAGATGTAACTGAACAAGAAAAATAACAATAATTATGCGAATTTTAATATGTACAGGTATATTTATTGACATGATACATGACATTGATCGATTTATTTCTGGTTTGAAAGTTCATCTAACCATAAACTAACATGATTAAGGTTATAACTGAAAGTATTGTTTTAAGAATTATATGATTTATTGTATGAGTATGTATCACAATAAAAACATTAATACTCTCATGAAATTGCAGAAAGAAGGAACATATAGGACATAAAATAATTTTTGGAAAAAAAATGTAACCGACTTCGAAAAAATATTAAAACTGCACTAAAAGGTATGATATAATTATATGATTAAACGAACTTACCTAAGTGAAGAATTGTTTGGAGGACTGCTCCAATTTGGCTCTCCAAAATATTCGAGACAATATTGCCGACAACTATGTTTGGATATCCGTAGATAAGACTACGGATGCAACTGGTCGTTACATTGCAAATTTAATTATTGGGAAGCTCTGAAGAATGAGAAAACACAAGCTTATCTATTGGCGTGTAAGCAATTAACAGAAACAAATTATGCAACTATTGCTCGATTTGTGAATTCAGGCATGAGAGTATTATGGCCAAGTGGAGGCGAAGATAAAGTACTATTGCTCGTCACAGATGCAGTGACGTATGTATGTTGAAAGCTGGGAAGCATTTGAAAATAGTTTATCCAAATTTGTTGCACATAACTTGTTTGGCACGTGCACTAAACTGAATTGGTGAGGAAGTGTGACGGCAATTCCCTGTTGTTAACAAATTAATATCTACCGTTAAAAAAGTATTTTTAAAAACTCCACTACGCGTCGAAATTTATAAAAATAAATTACAAAATATACCATTGCCATCAGAACCTGTGGTAACACGATGGGGAACCTGGTTGGAAGCAGCGTTTTTTTATGCAATGCATTTAGAAGGAATGAAAGACGTCATAGAATCATTGGATGAAAAGGAGGCTTGGTCAATTAAATTGGCGAAAGAACCATTACGATGCGAGTATTTACAACAAAATTTAATATTTATTCAGAGCCATTTCAAAATGTTACCTGAGGCCATAAAGAAATTAGAAACAATAGGATAACCTCTAACAGAATCTATAGATTTGATAACTACATTTACAGAAAATTTAAAAATTATACCCGGTGATTATGGAGAAAAAGTTATAGATAAAATGGAATCAGTATTAAAACGAAACGTACACTTCCGTCGAGCCCTAGCGGATTCGGCGGAAAACCAATCGAATTAATTCGCATATATCAGCGATTAACGCGACATCTCCAAAACGGATGAAAAAACGCGTACCTCCCTAGATTCAATCGCCACGCCATGCGGCGCGAACACCAAATCGACAAATGAAGCAACATCACTTCTTTTGTTCGATGCTACGAGCCTCGCGGCTTCCGTTGCGTTTCTCGAACACTTGGCTCTCGCCAGGGGGACCAAGCACAGTTGCGAGGAAGTGAAATCACGTTTTTAGTTGGTGAACCAAATCCACGCGACGCTAGTAAGCATCACATACACATATCTAGGGTCAGCTGCCGGTTTCCGTCGGTACTCATCATCATTTGCGAAGTAATAATGGACTATTGTCAATGGCACAATGGTAACGATCACTCACGTGGCGGTGGTCTGATAGCCAGCGTGATTTGATTCCTTCGTAACTTTTAATTGTGTTTTTTTGTGTTTTTTGTGTATTTTTTGTGTTTTTTGTGTGTTTCTTTGTGTTTTTTTTCAGTTTTGTGAAATATGGCACCTAAAAAGTGCCAAGTGAGAGGATGTACCTTACAGGAAAACCAGCTTCGGCAATTTCCCGATCTGATGAAAGATAGGGAACGCTGCCTTCAATGGATAGCAGCGTGTGATAATCCCTGCCTTCAGGACATGTCATCAATGGAAAATGTGAAAATCTGCGATGTCCACTTTGAGGATGTTTATAAATTAAATATCCGACTGAGTACTTCAGCAGTGCCAACGCTTCATTTGCCAAGTATGTATACATAAAATAAGCATATTTATAGGCCCGTATTCACAGTCGCAACTTAAGCATTGTCTCAAGAAGTTCTTAACTAAGTTTGCCTTATTGGAATAAGCATTGTTTGTGTCGCTATGTATTCACAGTATTATGTATTATCATTTTATTTTATGTATTCATATGGACTTAAGACTTTCTTAAGAATTGACTGTGAATCTAGAATAGACAGCAATTGCTTTCAAAGGGAATCCTTAAGTCGATGCTTAAGGCGTTACTTAATTGATTGACTGTAAATAATTTTTTATATTTAATATAACAATTTCATTTGTTCGCAAGGAAAAATTTTTTAAATAAATAGTTTATTAATAAGTACTTTTTATTTCTGTTTCAGGAATTATATCTGGTCTAGGGGAAGGGGCAGCATTAAATATAGGATTTCGAAAAACACTCACTTGTCTAATGAACTGAGCAGCTTAGCTTATTTCTCTATTATTTCAGGTATGTATATGTTAATATGAAGTATGCATTAAATTAGATTCATAGATTGACTGTAAATAATTTTCATATTTTTTTCAGATTGGACTGTTATCACTTCGTGTAACATAAGCGTAATTATAAAAATATTCTTATTATAAAATTTGTACAATATAAGTTAAATAAAAAAAATGTTTGTTATATAAGTATTGTATACCTTTTTATTACAATTCGTTTTTTATATTTAATTATATATATTTTTCAGAAAGTAAGCCAGAGAGAGGCAGACAATTCAAAGGATTTTCGTCGTTATAAAATTATATTTTTTGAAACGACGAAAATCCTTTGAACTGTGTCTGCCTTTCTCTGGCTTACTTTCTTTCAAATAATTTAAAACAATTTGAAAAGCCCGCTACTGTATATATATATATATGCATATACGCTCATGCGCTCTACATTTTAGTTGGAAACACAAAACCACTCGGCGCTGCAAACTTTGTACCAACTTGTAATACGGTAGCTTGGCCCCCCTGGCTCTCGCCGGCTCCCGCGAACACTCGTGTTCCGTCGACGCATTCAGTGTAATTATACCTTGCTATCCCGCGAGTTTGTGCATTCAATAGACTCACGGGTCGTGTTATTTCTTCGATTCAACAACGCCCGATGCGTTAATTGCTTTATTTCGCTATCGAAACCCTACGCGACATGGATACGACCTTGTGTGCGCGATCGCGTACCACCACGTGGCGACGCCATTTCGGCGGACTTTGTCCACATTCTTACCTTCCCTCCAAACCTAACGATCATCTCTTGACCTTCTTCAGGGATTCTCATGCCAAAGAGCAACGCTCAGGCATAATTCACTTTCTATGTTGGCATCTGCCCATAGAATTCCGTTCTTCGTATCCACGCGTATCCATATCGTTGCATCCAGCAATTCATCGCGTTCACTCGAACTGTTTCGACGTGTTACCGCAATATTTCGCTTCTACAGCACATTCAAGATGATCGAATCACCAATGCTGCGTGATAACGCATACAACAATCGCATCGTACGATTCTCATCTCCTTCCCCGCTCGGGATTTGAGCATCTTACGGGTTCCGACGGCCAGAAAATAGTTACCGAGGGGACAACGAGTTCCAGCGACGAGACGGCGATTTTCGACGACGAGATGATGGAGTTCAACGACGAAACGACGAGAAGAGCGGAATGCGCCGCCGGGAAGGTATTACAACTGCGGCGACCGCGAACATCTCTCCTTCGAGTGTCACCGGAGAAGTCAAGGAGCGAAATGCTTCGAGTGTGGAGAATTCGGACACGTTGCGAAGGATTGCCCAAGGAGAGTAACGCCTGCGACTGGCGAAAGTCTGGCGGTGCAGCAGAAATTCCGTAAGAAATATTTTAAGAAAGTTTCTATCTGCGAGCGCGAGGTAACCGCCCTAATTGATACCGGCAGCGATTTATACCTAATGCGTTGTGATCAATATAACGCACTTAAACCAAAGGTACCTGAACTAAGTAGAAGTAGCGTTTACTTTCGGGGTATCGGTTCGGAAACAATAGAGCAGTTGGCGAATTTGAAACAGAGGCGTCCATAGATAGAAATTCCTATTCTATAACGATTTGCGTGGTACCGGACAGATTAATATCACATGAACTTTTATTAGGCACGGATTTTTTGAACACGATGGAATTAACATCAAAACAAGGTAACATCATAATCCGGAAAATTGAGGCGGAAAACGTTTCGCCTATTGCATCGATCAATCTCGTGTACGATGCGAACGAGGTAGATTTCGCATATTAAAGACGCACAGTATAGAAATACATTGCCGAAAATTATTGACAGTTACCAACCTAGAAAACTGCGCGAAACCAAAATAGAAATGAGTATAGTTTTAAAAGACGACGAGCCGGTGTTCCAAAGAGCGAGGAGATTGTCGCCATCCGAAAGAGATACAGTCAATGATCAAATTCGGAAATGGCTGCGCGATGACGTTATTCGTCCCTCGTTTTTGGAATACGCTAACCCGATGGTATTAGTGAAGGAAAAGGACGGATCCTCAAAGCTTTGCATAGATTATCGCCAATTAAATAAAAAAATCATTAGAGATAGATATCCGCTTCCGCTTATAGAGGACCAATTAGACTTGCTCCAGGGCGCTAAAATTTTCAGCACACTAGATCTAAAAAACGGATTTTTTCACGTAGGAATAAATAAAGAACATACAAAATACACGGCTTTCATTATACCAGATGGACAATACGAATTCCTCAAGGTACCGTTTGGCCTGTGCAATTCACCAGCGGTATTTCAAAGATTCATTAACGCAGTGTTTAGGGAACTGATAGACAACAAAACGGTGTTGATTTATATGGACGATATAATTATCCCGTCGGTCGATCACGACAGCGGGCTGCGTAAGCTAAAAATGGTACTGCGAGTTGCGAGCGAATCGGGATTACAAATTAATTAGAGTAAATTTAGATTTTTGTATGAGCAGGTAGAATACCTAGGCCACGTGATCAAGGACGGTACGATCCGTCCTTCGGAAAGAAAGGTCGAAGCGGTAATGCGTTTTCCCGAGCCTAAAACGTTTAAGGACGTCCAAAGTTTTCTCGGCCTCACACGCTATTTTCGAAAGTTTATAGCCCACTATTCGTTAATAGCTCGACCTCTCACGAATTTGTTGAAAGCAGGGGCGGAGTTTCTTTTCTGCAGTGAAGAAAGTCGCGCGTTCGAGCAATTAAAGATCGCATTGTCCGATGAACCCACCCTGAAATTGTATAGAGTCAACGCGGAAACGGAACTGCACAACGATGCGTCTATGTTCGGTTTTGGTGCAATATTGTTACAGCGGGATACTTGCGACGGTATGTTACACCTGATATACTTTGCAAGCGGCAAAACGACTCCTGCGGAGGAACGCTACTCCAGCTACGAGTTAGAAGTTCTAGCAATTGTGAGATCGCTAAAAAAATTTCGCGTGTACCTGTTAGGGATACCCTTCAAGATAGTCACTAACTGCAAGCGTTTGCATTGATGATGCGAAAAAAGGATTTGTGCGTTCGTGTCACGCGATGGGCTTTATTGCTAGAGGAGTTCCAATACACAATAGGGTATCGTCCAGGCAAAAACCTCAGGCACGTCGATGCCCTGAGTCGCAATCCTCTTCCGTCGTGCATGTTAGTAAACGAAGAGGGTGTTACGTATGCACATCCGTTCTTTTCGAAGCTCGCGTTGACTTATTTCATCTACCCCTTGAA